GGCCTCTCAGACACCAGGACCCCCCAGGCAGGCCTCCGTGGATGCCAGGCAGCGTAGCAGGGCCACCCCCAGCCAGCAGCGTGTGGGCCTCCTGGTGGTGCACATGCACACATGCCTTGGGACACAGCACAACATTTATTCTGCACGCCAACCGGACACCTTAGCGGGAGCGTCGTCCCCAGCAGACAGAGCTGCCCCCTTTGGGAACCGCCACCCAGGCGACACGTAGCCATCGCTGGCATGAACCGGGCAAGGACTCGCTCCTTTTCCCTAGTGAAAGCCCCCGGAGTTTGCTAGCGGCCGGTGCTGGCTTTGCTTTGGGGGCTGAGGCCCTAGGAGCCCCCAGATCAGGGGCTGGCTGCTCGGGCCAGGAAGCGAGCCGACGACGCGGGGGCTGGGGGCGCCCCCGGGACGGGTGGGGGCCTCCGCGGGTCGTGGGCCAGGACCGGGTGGGGGGAATCTAACTCTACGATTCAGGCTGCAGCTTGGGGGGGTGTCGCTGCCCCACTTCTTCCCCTGCGCGGGCGTCTTTCCAGCCAGGGCCTGGCCTCCGGCCTCCCTCCCTGCAGTCTCCCCCTTGGAACCACTGACGGTTTATTTTCAGCTCTGGTTTCGCTCCGGCCGGGCGTGCCAAGGGGGGACACGCCCATAGAGCTTGGCCAGCTCTGGCCTTAGCCGAGCGTGTAAACACTCCAGGGCAGAATTTGTACAGCTCCTGGCGCGTGGGGGAGGGGCCGGGGGGCCTGGCCTCCGGCCTCCCTCCCTGCAGTCTCCCCCTTGGAACCACTGACGGTTTATTTTCAGCTCTGGTTTCGCTCCGGCCGGGCGTGCCAAGGGGGGACACGCCCATAGAGCTTGGCCAGCTCTGGCCTTAGCCGAGCGTGTAAACACTCCAGGGCAGAATTTGTACAGCTCCTGGCGCGTGGGGGAGGGGCCGGGGGGCTGGGCAGCGCGCTCCCTGGAGCCGAGTTTCTTTTACCCAAGAAGGGATTTTATACCCGGTGTACACACCTTCCAGGGAAGGAACCTCTCTCTGCTCCAAGGCCTCTTCCTCCTTGCAGGGAAAGGCAGGGCCCGACCCCACTCCAAATCAGGTTTGCCATGGGGCCGGGGTGGGACCAGCCGTTTGGCAGACGCATCCAGGGAAGTCACTGTGAAGTTT